ATAACAAGAAAACACTTTCAGATACAATTGCAAAATCTATTGTTTGGGCTGGCTTGGGGCAATAGTAGTCAGATTTTGTACATGAGTTGGAATTGGTTTTTTTCTGGTTTTTATATTGTTCCTTTTTATATGCATTAATGTAGCACCAATGGCGCAGAGCCTTTGGAGTTAGAAACTGAAATAAATAAGTAGATAAACTTCAGCAGCATTTAGAAAGTAAGGTTGATTACTAATGCAGATATTCTAGTAACTTCAGATAGTGGCCTATTGACAAAGCTTTTAGCATTGAAATAGAAATAATTGACCAGCAGGGGGTTACAGACTCCTGTAATGACCTATATTTGATATGCAGGAGAAAGAGCTTACAGAATCAATGCAAAGCCTCCTTTCAGGGCTGTGAATTTCAGGTTAACTGAAAGGCAGCTTCCCATGTTACAATAGAAGCATGTGTCGAAAGCGTACCCTATACCTGCTTCCACCCCGCAGTGTGTGAGGCAACCGACTGACATGGCTCCTTTTCATTGTGTCTGCACCTTGGAAACTTGCAGCAGGGAGTCTGGACATCTTGTGGCTCCCTGTGGTGTGTTTGTGTGGCATTTGTGTGGTAGAGAAAGAAGCTACATCAGGCACTCACATCTTAGAAACTGCCCAATATGAAATGGATTGTGATGATGACCTGAGTCAGGAAAGAACAGAAGGGAGAAGTTAGGAAGAGAGCTGATGGCAACAAGAAACTTATGAGTGTAGTGAGGAGGTTTGGGTCCTTTGTGGTATTGGTGGAGTAAGGCAAATTTCTAAGCAGCTGTGCTAGGAAGAGCACTACAGGGCTTGCTGGAGGAATTGGCAGCCAGAGGCACATTCCAGGACTGCCTTGTCTTTGTGCTGTACAGCTGTCAGGCTGCCTGAAATCCTTCCTCATAACCTCACCTGCATTCCTGACCCAAGCCCCTTTCCCTACGGGAAGCCCACCTCTCCACATCTCTGCCTTTGCTGATCCCTCTTTCTCAGCTCAGGAGTGTCTCGCTTAATCAAATACATTTGTTTTGTAAAACCGACTAAAAATAATCCAGGGCTGGTGAGCGCTGGATGCTGGCGGTGAATCAAAGGCACCGCTCTAATTAAACGGGCCCTAGTTTGTTTGTGAGCCGCATACATTTCCATGCTAATCAGCCACACGCCAGGATCCTGCCTCCTAAGCCTCACTTCCTTTGCCTGATTGGAAAGTATGCAAATGGATGGAGGCAGTCTATTTATTGCAGCGGGGAAAAATGAAACCGCAAGACACTCTGTGGGGCTTGATGGGGGGAGTGAGAATGGCAGGGCTTTGGTTGTGGGTTTACTGGATAACCCAGTAATGAAGCGAAGTCAGTAGAACTCAGAAGTTACACAAATCCTGTAATTCCTTGGTTCTGTTGAAGTAATTTTGTGTCAGAGATGTATTTCATATACTTCTGAGCGATCAGTCTAGGTTTGTGTCATCTTGACCACCTAGTATATTTTCAGTGAAGACTGGAACATGAGAAGTTCCCTGCTGAATCAATCCAGGGGACTGTCCAGTTCAACGTTCTGTTTCCACAGTGATCCATCAGACAGTTTTGGGAAGTCCTCTAGCAGAACATGGGTACAGTAACATGGCCCCAATTCATGTTCTCCTATACCCGATAGGACAACTTGCCTGAGGTCTTGGGATTTATAGGCATGCCTATAAGCCACTGACCTTCGGTTTTCATCAGTAAGCTGCAAACAATTGCGCTCAGGAAATTCACAAAGGAGAAGGAACTGCATAGTTAGTAAAATTCACAGGAATTAATAGGTGCTTAGCATTGAATTCAGGAGTATAATGTCTGGAATTAAAGCAATCCATTTCATCAAGCTTTGCAGAAATATGTGGGAATGTGGAGCAGATGATTTCTTGATTCCACTTCGAATTTAAACACAGTTTTACTTTCGGAAATGCTGGGAAGATCTTTGGTGTGAAATTCAGCAATGTGAGGACAAATAGCCATTCTTACTGTCAACTCTTGCGTTTGCTTGGCAGTCAGAATGCCTGGGGAAGCAGCATCATTGCGAGGTACCAAGTGCAGAAAAAAGTGATTGGTTTCTGCTCATGAGGAGCTTGTGTACATTGAAGATGGTGGACTTTAGGTTAGGGGAATGCAACGCTCCCAGACTTGTGTTCCCCAGCCATGAAACTGATAGACTTATTGTCTCTGGTCCTCCAGACAGTAAATAGCTGTTGTAATTGTTAGATCTTGATAGTCTTTTGGCCTTTTTTGAAGTCACCCAAGTTGGTGACCATCACTAGTTTTCTTGGTAGCAGATCTCATAGCATAATTGTGAAGATTTTTTTTCTTATTTGCTTCCTTAGATCTCTTCTTATTATTTTGCCTGGGCAATCCCAGGTTATCCCATTATGACCAGCATAACCTGCTTTCTCTACATGATACATCGTTGTATTTTTGTGAAAGATTAATGGTTGCCATCCTTTTTTGTCCAGTGATGAGATATTCCAATTCTACAGGTCCCAAAGAACCTGGGTGAAGGTCTACATGATGTGGTATATCATTACTATAACAGATGAACAGGAATGAATAAGTATCCAAATGTTTTCTGCTGTGAGACAGGATCTGTTTACATAGCATCCTTCCCCACTCCTGCCCTTACAGTTCACACATATTGGGCATGAGTGGTATAAAGTTCACCACAGAACAAAGTATGTTCTCTGAGTGAAAAGCTGGAGATGGCTCATTTCAAAAAGCCAGGTGGCAGTTGAATTAAGAGAATGAGCTGTTGTATTTCCTCCCCACCATGTGTTGACTTGACCCTGTGATACCTTTTAATGCGGATATGGCCTCTGTAGTGAAAGCAAGTTCTTTAGGATAAGCTGTATTGTCACTGTGAGTGATAATGGGATTAGAGCATTTACTATATCCCTACCATGCCTGGAACGAAGGTTTCGGTTGACCCCCTCATGAAACAGAAACATAGACAAGAAAGAGAAAAAAGAGTCGGGAGCCTGGATGCAATGCAAAAGTGACAGTATACCTCCCCCTAGCTCTTAGTATGTATCCTTTGTGTTGTGAAAGCACCACCATACACAACAAAGTTGTGCCAAGTCACCTTGGATGCTCCCACCTTTTTTTTTTATCTCAGAAAGCACCTCACAGGGAAAGGTTAGGTTGCTAAAAAGCTTAGTATGTGAGAAATTTGTCTAAAATAATGTTTGTGAAGTTTGATTATTAATCTCCACAATAATTCTGGTAAAGAGAAGAGAGATGTTAAAATGAGTGAACAAAATGGTTGGACTGATCACTTACCAAAAGAGCTTAGGCAGTGATGCATGGTAAAAGAGAAAAAGGCAATATACGTCCATGTTGTGTGCAATTAAGTTTTGGATGGCTTTGTTTATATTTCTACAGTTAAATAATAATACAGTGGGACTTCAATTTAAAAGCGTCCCAATTTAAGAGCATTTTGAGTTTAGAGCCATCACTCAGCCCGTGTTTTGCTTTGACTTCAGAACATTGTCTTAAGTTAAGAGCTAGCGCCAGACGGAGCACTAGCACAAGAGTACATGGCTTTAGGGCTTCAAGGAAGCAGTCTCTATGCCTCATTCTCTTGTCCACTTTGGGAGATTGCTGTCCACTTTGCTCTTGTCCGCTTTGAGGAACATTAGGCTAGTTTGTGTGGTGTTTATTCCTGGTATGTTTGGCTTCATGAAGAGGGAGAGGGAGAGAGAGCAAGAGAGGGAAGGAGGCTGATGCTTCTGCCTCTTCACTTTGTTCTCCCTTACCACAACTTTGTGCTTCTACTATTTTAATGTTGAACTTAATTTTTTTTATTGTTCTATGTGAATGTGCAGGTTTTTCCTTGTTGTTATGCTGACCAACACATATTTTGTTGCCTCAGATGTGGTTCTTTGCCACAACTTTGTGCTTCTACGATTTTAAAGTTGATGTTTCTTCTTTATAGCTTCATGTGAATGTGTATTTGTACATTATTCATTAGTTATAAAGTATATCGGCAGGCTGGATCAGATTCATAGCATTTAATGGGAAATTTGCTTTGAGATAAGAGCTCAGCCACAGAATGAATTAAACACTTAAGTCAAGGTATCACTGTAATTGATTCTTCTCTCTTCTCCCACTATCTTTGTGGTTACCTATATTCTCTGCTGTATGCTTGTGTGTGTATCTTCAGCTCACCTGTCAATTTATGGCAACCTCTTCAAAAAGTTTTCTTAGGCAATGAATACTCAGAAGTGATTTTGCTAGTTCCTTTGTCTGAAATACAGCCTACAGCATCTGGTATTTTTTGGTAATCTCCCATTCAAGTATTAACCAGATCTGCTCAGCTTCCATATAAGTTATGAATTGGTGCTGTTAGTATGTACTGTACTGTTCTCACCAGACATTTTTACTTCTTATACTATTAGCATATTGCCTATCAGAATCTGATTCATTTATAGTCAGTTAGATTTAAATTGAACAACATTAATAGGTATTGAAGTGCATAATGCAATTTTATTTTAAATGGAATAGAGATTGAGTTATTTCATTATTGAAGTTTGTTTGAGCAAAAAAGGGCAAAGAAATGGCAAATCAGAGAGACTAACTGAAATGCTCAGGAGATTGAAAGAGGTTCTTGCTAACTGGCCAGAAAAGATAGATCGTTAATTATTTCACATTAAAGAAAACAGATACATAAACTTATTTAGGGTTGATCTTGATTCTTCATTTCTTATACCCTTCTACCTGTGTCAACCAAAACATTGTTGGGATGATGTTCTTAGACATATTTATTGGACTGCTTTATTTCAAACGGGAGGATGAAGCAGGGCCATTAGGGGACTTCAAATTTTATGGTTTTTAAAAAATAAGATGATAGGTACCAGCATAGAATTGGGAATTTATTATTATTGCCACTGAAAACATGTTACTTTTTTTGTTTGCGTAAGAAATTATATTTCCACATACTAACATGGTCCATTACTCTTTCAGATTTTGGTGGATTCTGGCAATCCTATCGGACGTGCGGCGTTGCAGTATGAGAACGTTGTGGCCCATGAAGGGAGCTCCATCCTTCGGGACTTAGTGCTCAGCCCTGATCTCCAATACCTTTATGCCATGACGGAGAAACAGGTATGAAACCTTGTTCACAGCTAGCTCCTCTATCTATTTATACTCTCGGCAACAGTGAGGATCATTAACTAGATGAACAGCCCTTCCTATTCTATATAGTACGTATGTCATATTTCTTCAGCACAAGTCCTTGCCACATGGCAAGAATTGTCAGACTCTTGAAGCAACTAAATAAAAATATATTATAAGGATGCAGCATTCTTTCTATTAGTGTAGTTTTGATTAGACATTGAACTCATAAAATGAGTGCAGAGCTCATCACCGTAAATGTGCTCTGTAAATGACAGGCAGTTGATTCAACACTAGAGTGATGGCTCTCCTGGGGGAACCTTTTTTTTAATGAACTAGTAGATTTCATCCTGTGATGGGTGACAGCTTATGCAGAGGATTCTGTGCGCCTGGTGTTATAGCATGGCTCAGTGTGGCTGTGCATTAATGTTTAGTGTGCATTACACATAATGGATTCTACTTAAGTTACTGGCACTTGACATTGGCTGCTATTCTAGGACTGGTCATGAAAGGGGCTCTCAAATTACTCAATTCCAGTTGGATATTTGTCCTCCCTGTTAATATGGACACACCTGCTAGTAAGGCGCTTTGTCAGGTTTTATTACAAATGACTAAAGGCTCAAATTCATGTTTGTTCATTTGATGTTGCCTAAATTGTCCACAGTTCTGTTGCTATTGAAAAACACAAGTCATTAGAAAGTTTGTGGTGATTTCAGCTAAGAAATCATACTTCTCCGCTACCATTGTGTCTGCACAGTGTTGACCACCTTTCTTGTGTGGTCAGTTATATATTCTTTACTCCATAAGATGAAAATAGTCCACTCTGAAGAATTTGCACAATACTATATAGACTTAGATTAGTCCTCACTGTGTTATTACATATCTTCCCACCCCACGAGTTGAAAAAAAAGAAGCTTGACTGAGGGAATAAGCATGCGAAATAAGGAGATCATAGAGAGATATCCCATCAATGGCAGAAGGAGTTAGATCCTATTGCCTATTTTTTTATCAGATTGTTATGCCACCAACCCACCTTATATATGAATGAGGAGGATGTGGATGTATGTTAATTTATCTACTACTATCATATTTAATTTGGCCTGAAGATGACACAGTTTCTTCCTAGTCATAGTATGTCAGTTCTGAATGAATCCTCATGTATCTGTGGAATTAATCATATCTATTTGAGTCTGACTAGAGGGGAAAATAAATTTATTATTAAGGTGCCAATGAATCATAGGTACATAAAACATCTCCTCCAAAACAGACTTGTTAGGCTTCCTTTGCAAGAGCTCTGTCATTTGACAGATTTTCTCTGCTGCAGGTATTAGATAAACTACTTTGTTGCTCCATCAGGATGAAAAGGTGCTGGTGTGAGTGAGGAACTAGAACGATGCCCAAATATCTGAACCTTAGATCTGTCATACCATCACCCAAGGCGCTAGGTTTTCTGAGATGTTTTCACTGGTAACCTCCAGTTTGGAGTTAAAGTGGTATCTATAACTCCTTTTCAGTATAATTGGTCCTTAGGTAGTAAGAAAATCATTGGTGCAATAATAAGATTTAAATTAGGGAAGTGAGTTTCTCTCTTTCAGTTCTGGTTAATAGGAGAAGCTAAGGGAAATGAGACTGTTTGAAAATCTAGCTATATAAAGTATTATATGCAGGAAAGGATATATCTGAAAAATGTAAGTGAATACATAAAAGGTGTTAAATTTTTAAAAGGTTTTCTGTTCCTTTACTGTCATCAGTCAAAATGGAGACAGTGATCAAGAAATTGGAAAAAAGACTAAGCCTTGGAAAGGCAGCTATGAAAAAAGTAGGTACTATGCCCAGAAGTCAAGATGTATCATTGCATACCAAATGTAGGATCAGCTGATTTTTCTGTGTGGATGTGAAAGCTGGAAAATGAGGAAAGCTAGGTGAAGTTGAAATCAGCAGGAAATGAGGAGGACCTTCATGAAGAAAGGAGGAAAGTTTAAGGAATGACAGCTGCTGCTCAGTCAGTTTTCTTTGGGAAATCTAGTACAAAAGCTCTTCTAGGCACCTGATTCAGTTCATTAGTTCTAGTGCATTTGTTTTTGATATTGTTTTCTATTTACTTCAGATGTGAATAGAAATAGGAATTAAAGCACACAGCTGAGGCATTTAAACATAAATGGAGAGACATGGAGTCTGACAGCCTGTCATATCCTATGGTGGGCCTTCAGAATCTTCTGGTGCTTAATTCTAGATCTCAGACCTGCTGTAGATGCCAAAATCCATGGCTGCTCAAGTCCCATCATGGGAGAGTAAAATGGTCTTAATTGTGTAAAATTGCAAAATGAAGGGTTTTTTTTTTGCTGTGTGTGTGTGTGTGTCTCCACGAATATACAAGTTGTGAACAGTTGAAGAATGAAACCAGAATCTCTGTCTACAGGGGTGACAGTACTGTGTTTTTAGATAGCAGTTCATTCAAACATAGGCGTATGTAGCCTACCTCCCTTTAGATCAGTGGTTATCGGCCTGTGGTCCATAAAATATGGTCCACGGCCTCACCGTTACTACACCATTGCAATGAGAGCAACTGGTCTCACAAAACCCTCTTACTGTGTCAAGGGTTATTAAATATGGTTTTTGTTGGAGAGCAGATGTTGACTACTGGATGGCATATGCTCTGTATCAGAAACTAGAGCTGATGTGGTCTATCCAATGCAGTTTTCTGAATCAGCACTCCAAATAACCAAATTGAATCTAAAGTTGACCAAAACCCGATTTGTAACCCTCTAGTACTAATGTTGGAGAATGATGGTCCCTGGTCAAAAAAAGATTGGGAACCACTGCTTTAGATGAACTCTATATGTAAAATATCATTAAATAATTAGAGATGTCTGCCCTAATTTGGTCCATATGTCTTTTTTTTCTTTTGTAAGCAGCTTTTCTGTGGGTACTGCATAGGAGCTAATGTTAATTGATTGTATAAAACAAAGCTAAAATGAAGGCAGACAGAAAGGTGAGGCAAGCACACATCTTTGAGGGTGGCTTTAGTAGAATCGCAGGTCATACCTTGGTGTGAATTCACACAGGTCAAGGAAAGTATTTCATCCCTATATATGGAAAGCCCCTGGAGGAAGGATGGGCAGAAATCTAAACAGGTAGAAGATTGATTGCATATATGTACATAATCTTCAGAATTCAACATTATATATTGAAGTGAAAATGAGTAAATAAAAATTAAATCTTGGGAGTCATTTGAAGCAGAAAGAGAACTGTAAAAAAAAAGATAAGCAGATATGTCGAATATTATTGCCTTTTAGACTGGAAAAATACAAGAAGAAAGTTTTCAAAAATCTGTTTTTACATTGCATTCCTCCTTTTCATTTGAGCTGCAACCTGATGAAATCTGATGCTTGCTGTAGTGTGTAGAGTCTCTCCCCCCCCCCCACCACCACCAGTGATTAGCAACGTTTACTGAAATCCCAAATCCCCTCGGAATGCATGCCTGTCTAACCCTTTCAGGCTTGCACTCTTTGGTGCTAAATTGCTCTGTGAAAATGGCCTCTTTGTTTGTAACGATGGAGATACTGGCTGAAGTGGCGGCACACCTGCTACTATTGAAAGCGGGGCTCCCCCAACAACCCGCCTGCCCCTTTGATAGGTAAATGGTCACGCTGAGCTGGAAGAATCCCAGCCACTTGATTGCCCAGAGACCTTGCAGCTGATGCTGTCCTGGAGATTTCAAAAGCTATATTTGGCTCCCTCTTAGGACTAGTTCATAGAAATTTAATTTTTTCCACAAGATGTGGGCAAGCGCCTTACATGGCCTCTGTGTGATGTCAGTGTTTTTGACCCTTCCGGTGAAAATATGCTGCCTTAATGTGATTGCAAGGTGGATTGTCTTGGAGCATGTGGAAGGATGTGCAGGGCACAGATAGTGTGGCTTGCTGCTGTTGCATTAGCTTAAGTGAGGTGTTTGGAGGCTTCATCCACCATTTAGGAGCAATCTCTGGGGAGTACTAGTGATATCTTCCCCTCCCCCTTGCCTATTTCAATCTTTTAGTAGGCTTGGAGAAAATCTTGAGATTCTTGTCTCTTGGTTTCTGTCTGCTTGTGTCATTTTATATATTCAGTTTCAGTTTATGGAGGATTAGAGTTTGGAACGTTTAGAGCAGTGATGGGCAACCTTCTGAGCTTCCTGTGTCAAATTTCCCCCCAAAACCGGGCATAACTCGGTTGAGGTGTCACTTCAAGAAAAAACAATCATGATTTTGTGATATTTATAGTTTAAATAACAAAAATGTATAATTGTAATATATAACTGTATTTAATAAACTGAAAACGAATTATTTAACTTACCTGCTTAGTGACTCCTTTGTTCATCAATCAGTCAGTTTCTTTTGTAGGTCTTGATATTATTTAACTTGTGTGGGGTGCCATGAACTAAGATAAGTGAGCGCTACTAATTTCATCTGTCAATCTGTTTCTTTTGTTGGTTTTGATATTATTTAACACTAATTAGCATTAAATAAAAGTTTATTTTTCAAAACTAGAACTGGGATTCTGGTTGCTTTTGATTATATCTTTCTGTCTGTGTTTTGAGTGTCCATGTGCATGAGTGGGCAGTAATTGTCCTCCAGTCTCACTTAAGTTTCTGTAGGAGCCCCCAGTGGCACAGTGGGTTAAATCCTTGTGCTGGAAGGACTGCTTACCAAAAAGGTTGGGTGTTCAACTCTGGGGAGCTTGGAAAGCTCCCACCTGTCAGCGCCAGATTCTGCTGTGGGTACATGAGAGAAGCCTCCCACAGGATGGTAAAACATCCGGCTGTCCCCTGGGCAATGACCTTGCATTTGGCCAATTCTCTCGCACCAGAAGTGACTTGCAGTTTCTCAAGTCAGTCCTGAAACGAACACTGAGAATAAAGTCTCACAAAAGTACGTAGATGAAAAAATTGTGAGTAAAGCCATTGTCATATTTCTCTGGGTGCTAAAAGTGCCTGGTAATCGGTTCCAGGC